CTTATTGTTTTTGTCGTCGCCCGCCAACCATGAATTGGCCGCGGCGCGACGAGCACCGGGCACCCCAAAGTTCCTATTTGAATGTTTGCTACTACCACCGAAGGTCGCACCGGGCCCAGAGTACCAAGGCCACGCATAGGCCTTGCAGCGGGCCGTGTGCAGGTTCCCCGGAAGAAAATCCGGGGGCTCTGTTGCTCCCTGAAATATAGTCTTGAGAGACAACCTTGGCAGCGGGCCACGCTCTCAGCTCCGCGACCAGTCGTCTGAACGAGAGTTTGCCCTTTGGGGGTCCGAGGCAGCAACGGGTGCTGTGTGGAGCGAGGCAGCGGTAGCAACGGGCGCCAACCTTTAGGTGGTGAGCAGCGCTGAGTGGGGAAGCCGACTGTAGTTAGTAGGGGCAGGGAAAGGAAGTCAGTAAGTGGTGGGTGGACCCGGACGGGGAACCGCGCCGGGTGCATGCACGGAGGGGCTAGCGGTAGCGGCGAGCGGAGCAGTAGGCAGGAAGTGGGCGCAGAGACCATGAAAGGAGAGCTGGGTCCCGCTGTAGCCAAGGCGGAACAAATCCAGAGTCGGCTTGAGGTGCCAAGCGGAGAAGGCGGGGTGCCACGACTGGTGCAGACTGATTACTTGCCAGGAGGCCTGTCACTGGTTGTGGCATTGCCCGACCCGCCATGTAGACCGACTGCAAGCCAGCCGCAAAGGGGGGGGCACTGCATGAGCGGGATTTGGTTGATGCCCAGTTCGTAACGTAGTTGATGTCGGTCCAATTGGTGGGCGCCAGCCTCGGACCGCATAGCTGTTACGCCATTGTGACTATTGTAAGACAATAGTGGGATATTACCGTGTTATGTTTACATCTGAGTAGAGCACATAAGAGTGTGCACGATATGAGTACTACCTTTCTGGCCTGCGCACTGGCAGTCCGACCGACGTGAAGGGAGTGGGATGTTTGGGCTCGGCGGCATGGTCGTGTTTGTTAAGAGAGTTACCGCTGCAACTTGAAGCTTCGCCAGAGTGCCGTTTTTTTCGGCGGTTTGACTTCAACTCACCAAGTTGCTGCGCGTATTGGTCATCATTGCGGGGCCCTCCGGCGCCGAAGGCTTGAAGGCCCTCTTGCTCGAGTCTGAGTCCACCTCTCTTGTATCTAAGAGTCTCAAAACTATCTCTACCTGCCCTTCTAACTTCTAAGTCTCGTCTATTGGTTTTGAGAGGAAGGCGGCAGGCAGGACTGCAACCCGTAATCCGCGCCAAGGCCTCTGCGGGAGGTTCGCCCCACCGAATGCGGGAGCTCTGCCGGGACTCAGGAGGAGTTCTGGAGGCAGGGAATTGAAAGGTAATTGTTGCTTTCCCACTATAAACCCAGATATTAGCCCCTATCTGTATTGTCCTTGATGTGCTTTGATTGAGTATACTGTATGCGCCTCTACTTTGACTTTAGTTTGACCTTCAGGACACAAGTCAGACCAAGTAAAGGAATGTGTGTGCAATCGCAGCTTCAGTTTTGTTGATTGCTTGAATGCAGATT